GCCCTTCCCTCCATTTAGTTCAGAATTAACTGGCACTGGAGGAATCAAAGCTCCCTCAAAGGTTTTTCTATAAAATGGAAAACTTCTCAGCCATAAAGAGTGAGAAATTAGAGTCATTCATAGGAAAATGGATACATATTGAGGATATACTCCTAAGTAAAATAAATAAGTCACATATGTATAAATACTGAATAATTTCTCTGGTGTGAAAAACTATAATGGTACATAAGATCCTAATGGTATATTTGCCAGTGTGAAATAGGAAGACAAGGGCTAAAGGTGTAGGGGAAGTAGAAAGGGTAGGGGAAAGAAAGTAAGGGAAAAGAAAATAAAAACATGAGAAATTGAAAAACTGTAAATAAAGTATTTTTAAGTAGGGAAGGGAGGAAGGGGTGAAGTGAGGGCAGGGGTAAGGGGAAAAAATGAGAACCAAGACCTGTCATGTAAAGGTACAAGATCTTAATGATTAATGTAAGTGTACTGTATACCTAAAATGTACCAATAAGCTCAATGAGAATAAATAAATAAATGAAATAAGTCCCCCCCCAAAAAAAAAAGTTTTGTAAATAAAAAGAACCATTGTTAGCTTGGGTAGAACAGACAAATAAATCTTAAAGGTAACCTCCCCTAACAAAGAACTGCATCCTGGTTGAAATTCAACTGCCTCACCACCATGTTTTGAATATCAGAAATGTGATCTGTGAAAATGCAATATAATCAATGAATAGGATCAAGGCTATAAAACCTTATAAAAGGAGTTGTAACCCAGTGGGTCATCAATCCAGGCACAGCTCATGAGCGATGGACCCTCGTCGATGAGTAAACTTTTTTATTTTACTTCTATTCTGCTGCCTATGTGTCACTTGCCACTTCCTTCCATAACAATTTAAGTGTTTCTCTTTGGCATATCCCAATTGCCAATATCGCTTTCTTATGTTTTGGACCATTATTAAGTAAAAGAAGGGTTACTTGACCACAAGCATTGCACTACTGTGATCGTCAATACTAAGGCTAAAAAGTTAATGGGAAGTGGGTAATGTGTAGGAAAAGGAATGATTTATGTCCCAAATGAGATGAAATGTGTTGGTGCAAGATTTCAACACACCATGCAGAACAGCATACAATTTAAAACTTACAGATTTTGCATTTCTGGAATTTTCCATAATTATTTTCAGACCACAGCTCACCAAAGTAACTAAAACCACAGAAAGCAAAATGGTGGCAAAGCAAGAATTACTACTATATATTAGTGTTGACAAACCTTTTAGAGCGTTCAATGATAGAAGCAGCCCGGTTTGCCACCTCTGTTCTATATGTAATTATTTCTGATATTCTATTTGTTCTTGTATCTGCTGTGGATACTTTTATTCCTTAGTTTTTGTGTTTCTATCTTTAAGCAAATAATCACATTATTTTGTTTTTAGAGGCTTAGTGAGTCATGTTTAAATCATGTTTTCTTTGTAATTCTTTTCAAATTCTTTTATATATCCATATCAATTTTAAAGTTGGCTTTTTAATTCTGATTCATAAAAAGTTTGTTGAGTTTTGACTGATCTTCCCACAAATCTATGAATTAATTTGGGGAGAATAGACTAACATATTTAGTTGAAATTAAGATACATGAACACTATTATGATCTCTGCATTTATTTAGATCTCCACTTAAGTGGTATTTAAAAGTTTTGTCTCACCAATGTTTTGTAGTTTTTAGCATATCTTTTGTCAGATTCTTCCATCCAACAATAACACTTAAAATTATATTGTTCAAAATTTCAATTTTTGATTTTTATTGGTAGTGAATACAAATACAATTAATATTCATTAGGTGTAGTTGAAAAATATGATGAATGTTTAAATTTCTATAAAATTTATTGTAATGGACACATTGCCAGTAATCCCCCTCAAAATATACCTTCTCATTTTGTACTCACTTATCACATAATTTTTGCTAATTTCTGAAGCAGTTCTCTAAGTGTTCTTTTATGAGAGTCTTCAGTTGCGTGATCATGACTGCTTTGATGTCCTGATGTTTACCTTTCATGGTCATTTTGATTTTGGGGGAAAGCCAGAAGTCACACTGTGCCAGATTCAGTGATAAGGTGGATGAGGACACCCTGTCATGATTTTACAAGCTTGCCTTTCTGTTGTATTTGAATCAGCAGTGGCATTCACTATATTTTTTATCACACCTTGTAAAGACATAAAAGAGGACTTCAAGAACTGCTTCAGAATATAGTATGCCTATAATCCCAGCACTTGGGAGGCTGAGGCAGGAGGATCGCTGTGAGTTCAAGAACAGCCTGGGCTGCATAGTGAGTTCCGGGTCAGACACAACTACAGAGTGAAACCCTGTCTCAAAAAAACAAAAACAAAACAGAATATAGAACATAGCAAGAACTATAAGAGATGTGCTTGAAGTGAGGAAACATGTTTAGGGGGATTATTGGCAGTGTGTCCTCTACAACACAATCACAGCTTGTATTTTGGTCTTGTATCCAGTGAGTTTCAAGAAACCTTACTCTAGTACCATTTTTAAATAGTTTTACAATATTCTCAATAAAGTCATATCATATGAGACCAAGGACAGTTTTACTTACTCTTTCCATTCTGGGTGGTTTTTATGTCTTTCTTAGCATATTTCACTGATGTAGAACTCTATCAGAATAGTATTGAGTATAGTTTGTAAAAATGGGCACTTTTGCCTTGTTCATGATCTTATCAGAAAGGATTTGCTCTTTCATCATTATGTTTATAATAATGTTTTCATTAAAGCCTTTAATTAGATTGAATAGATTCCTGCTATTATAGTTTTTCAGGTAACTTTTAAAGTCATGGACTAATGTTGAATTTTGTCACTTTCTCTTCAGAATTCATTGAGGTGATTTTTTTTGTTGATGTTGTATGGTAAATTACAATCATTGACTTTTTAAATTGATTTCAACTGCTTAATCAACTGTATTACTAGGATATGTTCCACTTTGCTGTAACATATTAATCCTTTTCACTTATTTCTTGATTTAATTTGCTGAAATTTTAAGATTTTTGCATGTATGTTTTTTTCTTGTAATATCTTTATTAGTTTTTTTTTTTTTTTGTATCAGGGATCAAACTTGGGTCCTTGCATTTGCAAGGCAGTTGGCAGAACCATTGAGCTAAATCCCTGGCCTTTTATTAGGTTTTGATATAAGGTTAATACCAAACTCAGAGAATGAATTGCAAAGCATTATGTCCTCTTAAAAAAAACTGGTACATAGTTGATATTGTCTTTTTCTTTAAGCATTTGTTTGAACTCATAGGTAAAGCTATCTGGACCTAGAGTTTCCTTATAAATTGAATAAAAACACCATGATGATTAAAATATTTCATGTGGGAAAAATTTAACTGTAAATCTAATTTCTTTATTGTTAGTATGGTTTTCTGCTGGTCTCTGAATAAGCTTAGTCCTTCATAGAATTTGTCCATCTGATCTAATATGTCAGATATATTGGCATAAAATTGTTCATAACATTCCCCAATTATCCTTTTTATTTGTAGTGGTGTCACTTCTTGATGTTGGTAATTTGTATCTTCTACTTGTGTAATTTTGCAAATTTCATTGACTTTCTCAACTTTGGTTTCATTGACCCCCCCAGCCCCCGCCCCCCCCCGTTTCTTTGGTTTATTTCTTCATCACACTACAGGTTTTATTTGATCTTTTTGAGTTTATGGTAGAAAGTGAAGTCATCAATTTGAGAGCTTTCTTTACTTTTTGATACAGGCTTTTAGTGAAATAAGTACTGTTTTTATGTCACAGAAATTTTGATGTTTTATTTTTAACCATAATAACTTATGATTGAAGTTATAATAATTTCATGTTCCTGTTGGTTGTTTCTTTGAAGTGTAGATTATTTAGAAGTGTGCTTTTTATATTCACCTAATTTGCAATTTTCTACTTTTCTATTGTCTCTAATTTCATTATTAGCCATTTTTAGACATTTAATATCAGTATGGTTTTGTTGAAACCTACTTTTCTAGTTTCTTTTTATTTTTCCTACTTCTCTGCTTTTGCTCTTCTTCAAAAATTTAATTGTATATTTTAAAAGCTAAGTTAACTGCCACTTTGGCTTAATGATGCACCCACCCTCCTCCTGAGTTATTTTAGGGTTTCCAAAACTTTCCACTGATTTAAATTTAGAAAAAAGTAGTGGAAATTCTTAAGATTGGGACAAGGGCATATCAGTTAATATGTTCTACAAAAAAAACAATATTAGATAAATAAGAGTTTATTGTAATTCAGGTTAACCACAATCTTCCTTCTTGTTCCTCACATGTCTCAAGCACCTGCCTGCCTCACGGTCTTTGTACTTACTTTTCTCTATCTGGGATATTCTTTTCTTAGATTGTAACTTCATTTATCTTTTGTCTTCTGCTACCAAAATATTAACTGATTATATTGCTCATGTCTGCACAATTTATTATCTAAAATAACTATTTCTTTTTCCTCTTGTTTTTACTCTTAGCTTGATTTGTTTTCCTTAATGGCACTTAGCACTGGCTAAGTTTTGTATTGTTTGGTTTTCTGAATTTGCCTTCAGTTTTCTTTATCTTTGCATCCTTGCCTCTTTAAACAATGCATGGTAACCAATAACTGACCAAAAAATACTGACTGAATGATTGATTGACTAATATGAAATGAATGATACTCATTTATGTTTGTTTGTATACCCTGCTTAGAAAAGTGATATGATCCAATTTCTGAAAACATGCCATTAATTTATATTTTAGCTTGAAATTAAAATATATTGCTCAACTCTCATTATTATATTTTTGTATTTAATAGTGGCATCTTACTAAAAACTTAGCACCTACTACATATTTAACCTTCTCAAACACTTTCTAGGTATTTTTACTATTGGCTTCTGAATTGAGGTATCCTGGAATGAGTAAATTTCATTACCATTCAGAAACAAAACTATTTATACTATTAAAAAATAAGTAATTAATTATAATTATTTTTTCCAGTTCCAAAAATTGAGACATGATCTTGAAATGGCACTATCTACTATTCAGTCAAAGAATGAAAAATTAAAAGAAGATTTAGAAAGGTACACTTATAGCATAATTACCATTTATCATTGACATAATGAATTGTCATTTAAAGTTTTACTTGGTTATTTGTTGTGTTTTTCTAAAGGGAGCAGAAATGGTTGGATGAACAGCAACAAATAATGAAATCTCTTAATGTACTATACAGTGAATTGAAAACTCAGGTTGTGACATTTTCTGAATCAAGGTAATTAATGTTCTTTTTTATTAGAATAGGGAAGTGTTTTTTATGTTACATGAAATTCAGATAAAGACGACCAATTTTACTAGAATCAGTCTTGCCCTGACTTTTACCAGCTATTTGTTACAATGACTTTCTTTCTTCCTTCCTTCCTTCCTTCCTTCCTTCCTTCCTTCCTTCCTTGCTTTCTGTTTTTTTGGTACTGGGCATTGAACTCAGGACTTTACGCTTTCAAGGCAGACGGTAGCACCACTGAGCTAAATCCCAGCCCTACAATGACTTTTTATGAATGTCTTCACTGGGTTTTACCATTAGTTTCCCAGAAAGATTTATGGAAAATATTACTTTCATAAGCTGGTTATTTAGTTGGAGCAAATGAAATTTTAACAAAGTTTTTGATCAGCCTTGTGAATAACCAGGTATGTGTACATATGTGTTTCATGTATTAAATATTTCTCTCAATTTTTTATCAGAGCCTTTAATGAACTCAAAACTAAAATCATTAATATAAAACAATTTAAAGAGAAACTTTTGATTACCTTGGGTGAGTTTCTAGAAAACCATTTTCCTCTGCCAAATGGAACTGTCAAGAAGAAAAAGGTAAGTTTTAGAACAGATATTCCTATAGATAATTGTATTATAGAGATTGTCTATATATAGAGATTGTTTTAGATAGGTCCAAAGGCAAATTTTCTTATATACAGTACTTTAAAGATACACACACAGATATATGTGTAGAAATGTGTCACTCTCATCACATTTACTGACAAATCAAAAACTAAAATGGATTTTGTTAAATACTTTTAATATATGTTCATGTGATGGTAAAATCACAGCTTGAAGGTAGTATATTGAACACCATCAAAGGAAATAATGAAATGTAATATATTGTGAAATTGGTAAAATGCAGATAACTAAATTTTATATATTGAATTTTATTTGTACCAAAAAATAGAATAAATAGTACTTTATGTCCTGTGAGTTTTGTTTATTTTTGTGTTTGCTTTTTTACTATTTTCCATTATGAATGTATGTGGATTAGTTTTTTGGTTGATGTTGGTGAGATACCATACCTAAATATTCACAACTTAAAGAAGAGGTTTAATTTGGCTCAAAGTTTCAGGTGATTTCAGCCCATTGTTTGCTGGATTCAAGGCAGAGACATCATGATGCATGGGCTTGTGGGAACAAAACTACCTGGCTCCTGGTAGCAAAGAAGAGCAGGGGAACAGTGCTAGAGAAAGGCACAAGGGACTGGATATAGATACCCCCGCATGCTTTCATGATCCACCCAGACATACCTAGAAGTGTGCTTTATTAATTCCTTAGGCAGCTCCCAAGCTGATCAACTTGAGTTAAGTTCAACTATCACAGTATGTATCTTTTTAAATCAGAAGAGTGTTGAATTTGTTCATCTTGGTCAGTGATGGCAAGCCTTTTAGAGCTTTCAGTGATATAAAGAGCACACTGCAGCAGGTGTGCCATTGTTCACCACTACTGATCTAGGTTATTGACTGAATAGTAGTTATGGTATGATGAATTTTCCAAAAATGCAAGCCAACCATTTGGTGATAGAAGATTGTGAACGACCACTTTTTATTAACACAGCATATAATGTAAATAAATAAAAGTATTGAAATTGGCACTAGAGTGAGCTAAAAAAATTTTTTTTTCCTCATTGAGTATATTGGTACATTTTAGGTATACAGTAGTTACATTCATCATTGGGACCTTGTACCTTTACATGACAGGTCTTGATTCTCATTTTTCCCCTTGTCCCTGCCCTCCCTTCACCCCCTCCTCCCCTCCCCATTTACAAACACTTTATTTCCATTTTTTCATTTTCTTATATATTTTTCTTTTCCCTTATTACCTTTCCCCTACCCTTCCCACTTTCCTTACACCTTTAGCCCTTTTCTTCCTATTTTACATTGTCAGTTATCTCATTAGGATCTTGTGTAGTGTTAGTTTATTCACACCAGAGCGAGCTAAAATATTGTTTAGTCATTTTTTAGAATAAAATTTGGGGTTCCATATAGGATGAAGTCTGTAAACTTCTTAGAAAAATGTACTTATACTTTGGACTTTTGTCTGTTCAGTCTTGTTACCCATTTATTCATCTTTTACATGAATCTATTCAACCATATCACTGTAGCTCCAGCAAGGATGTAGTTAAACATGGCCTCTCACTTTTTTGTTCCTATCTGCTGTGCCTAGAAACCTGTTCTGTCTAATATTAGTCATAATATTTCTGCTATTTGCGTATCTTTTATATTACCTTCCAAGTTCTTTTTCTTTTCCTTTGTTTTCCCCTGATGCTGGGTATTGAACTCAGGGCCTTGGTTATGCAAAGCATGTGCTCTGATGCTGAGCTATTTCCCCTCGAGAAGTTCCTGTTTATTGAGTGAATGTGAGAATACTAAAAAAAAGAGGAAAAGTTTTTTTTCTGATTTTTTTTCTTTCAAATTATCTGCAGGCATTATATTTGTTATGAACATTAATATTTATATTTTTTATTTGTTGAGGAAGTTATTGACAGCAATTCTAGTGGTTATTTTGTAAAGTCCACAATTCCTTGCCTCTTACTGATCTTAATCTTGGAGCAGTTCACTTATTCATTTTGACATCAGTGTTCCCATTTTTTTTCAACTTTATTTTTTAAATGTATTGTACTTTTTCTCTAGTAGAATCAGAAGTTTGAGGCACCCTGAAAAGGAATCATTGATTTCCAGAAGGCATCATGGTCTCACTGAGCAACATTTGATAATCTCATTTTTTTTTTTTTTGTACTTGGGATCGAACTCAGAACCTTGAACTTGCAAGGCAGGCAGTTTCACCACTGAGCTAAATCCCTGGCCCCTGATAACCTCATTTTTTTGTAAATGACATGTAGGAATTAGTGAAGCAGGTTATAAAATTATAGTATTCTCCATCTCTGCCTTGTTTCTTATTCTGGCTAGCCATAATACTAAATATGTTAGTGGGCTGCTATAACAAGTACTACACTCTGGCTTAAGCAACAAATTAAATTTAATTTTTTTAGTCTGGAGGCAAGAAGCCCAGTATCAAAACACTGTCAGGAATAATTCTTTTTTAGTGGGTTGGGAGGTACCAGGAATTGAACTCCAATCCTTGCGCTTTCAAGGCAGGCAGTGGAACCACTGAGCTAAATCCCCAGCCCTGTCAGGAGTAATTCTTGGCAGTGCCTATCTTCATGGCCTATAGATAATATTTTGGCCCTGTGTTTTCTGACTGGTCTTTCCTCTGTGTTGAAATAAGAGGAGGGGAAGAATTCTGTAATGTTTTCTAAAGAAATTAGTCATTATGGATTAGGATCCCACCCTTGTGACCTCATTTAATCTTAATTACCTTGCTAAGGCCCTGTTTCTACATACAATCACGATTTTAATCTTGTTGTTGTTGTTGTTGTTGCTATTTGTTTATTTATTTTGTTACCGGGGATTGAACTCAGGACCTTACGCTTTAGCTAAATCCCCGGCCCGTGATTTTAATCTTAATAAAAAGTATTCTAGCATCTGTAATTAAATAATTTTTTTCTTTGATGGTTGCATCACACCTAGATAATTATGGGAGACTGTATCAAAGAAAGTATAATATATTCAGAGAACATCCCTGATTATCAGAAGTCTCTAATTTCTGTCATGTGAAAATGAAGAAACTTACGGCAATAAACATGGAGAAGAGATGACTTACTTGGGCTTTATGTTAGCTATCTCAAATATTTGCAAAACACTTGTACAAAATTTGAATGAAATTTTTTTTTCTGTAATTCCATGAAAAAAAGAGTGAGTTTAATTAATGTTAAGAACTGTCAAAAGCTGTGGAAAGATGAACAAGCTCCCAGGGAAGCAAGTTTCTTCTGGAATTATTGTCTGGAATGTCATGTACTTGGGAAATTTTTATTGGGGACCCCAAACATTAGACTTTATTTTATATGCCATATCTATTTATATTACTTACTCATTCTATGTTTATAGATAGTATGAATTGTATAATAGTTATAACAGTTTTCTCTGTCTTAGAAGTTGCCTGACTCCATTTTTATGAGCCTGACTTATGTACAATAAGGTTTACTTTCAGAAGTTTTTTTAAATCACCCAACAATGTGTTTGATTTTAATTACCTTGTACCATTGCAACTAAGAAATACTGATTTTTAAAATATTACAGTACAATTCAATACCATAGGCAGAATTGAAATATTAATTGTTATTCATATTTCTCTCAAAGAAAAACATTCAAGAAGCAACTGCACAGGTGATTACACTGCATGAAGTGTTAGAGGTAAGGGCTTTATGTAGTTTTTTTATCTTAAAGCTGTCTCTTAGTCATTTGTGAACAATTATAGTCAGGGTTATAAAAGAAAAAATACTACTTTAATTCTTAAGTAATATATCAATCTTTAATATAGTTATAATACTTTGTCTCTGCTACAAAATTATTTTTTGTCTTCTGTGTAAAATTTGTCATTTTTTAAAAAACATAAAATGCTGTTTTATATTGATAGCATTTTAGCTAGCTCTCTTCTGTAACATATGCAAATCAGTATAAAGAACCTTTTCACAAAGTTGTAGTAATTTGTGCAGTTTTCCTTAACATTGGTCTCCTTTGTCAAAATGTAATGACTGAACAATTCTGAACTTTTCTGTTTAACATTTTATTTTGTTTTATAAATATTTTTGATTTTTTTAAATAATGTTTTTTACCTTCTATTAAATTATTAAATATATACTTTAGAAAATCTTGATATGAGAATCTATGGCAAAGTGGATATAGAGGAAAATAGTCTGAAAAGAGGGGCATTTATAAGTTAGTGTGCCTTTTTCTTAAAGTTAGTTTAGAAGAGTTTTTTCAGAAAATGTGTTTCATTGTAATTTAATGAATTATATGTACAAGTCTGTTTCTATCCAACTAAATTGGTGCCTCAGTATATCTTTTTAATGCTGAATATTATTACTTTAAAAAGCTAAATGCAACTATTTATTAGATTTGTGATTAGAATATTTAACATAGTTCTAGCTACTCCAATTTATAATGAAACTATAATTATTGTTTTCATGGATGTCTTAACTCTTTAAATATTATCACTTCATGTGACAGATATCAAAAAGTATTAACTGGAATACATGTGTAAAATATTCAGGTGTACTATGGGATACAATATGAAACGTAACTAAATGTGTCTCACAGGCTTATATTATCAGTGGTAAAATAATCAAATTTCAACTTCAATTCAGTAAAAAATAAAATGTAATCTATATACTCATTTTAAATATGAATTTTAGCATTTAACCATTTCTAGTGTAGTGCTAGGGATTGGCCCTAGGACCTCACAAATGCTAAGCAAGTGCTCTGTAACTTCAGTTATACCCCCCAGCTCAGAAGGTTTTTAAATTATATAAAAAATGCACAAGTGCACTAAAATAGGAATATATTAAATACTTTGACATAATGCCTTAAAAAAATGAGTCCATGAGGTGCTCTCCTGCTCCATTGTAGGGGCTTGAAATAGTTATAATCAAGGCTAGTTTTAATTCTTATTTCAAGAATTGAAATACTGATATTATGAAATATAATTGAAATTAGAGCTTGGCAGCTTAATTTTATGCACTTTTGTTCCATTTGATAGTTGTATAAATTTTTCCATGTTCTTAAAGTAATAGCATCTTTAAGTTAAAGCTTTGGCCTTGCAATTGAGAGGTAGAGTCTAATTTTGCTAATTTTGTTTTCTCATGGAATCCCTTAGTCCTGCTGAGTACTGGTTTTATAATCTGTGAAAGTATTGGGAGTAGATGAGTAGTCAAAATATATCTACATTTTTACTGTTTTATAAAATATTAGTATTCAAAGAACTGTAAATACTTGTTTCATTTTCCCAATGCAAGTGGATTTGTGAAAGACAAGTGATTGTCAGTTCTCCTTAGCAATGTCTCTACCTTTCTTATGATTGAAAAACCCTATTCATCAAAGACTAAGAACATAATTAGCAAGACCAATTTCATGAAATGCATTTTGGGAAATAGTAACCTATCACAAATCATCAAAATGTCTCAATTTTTGGCTTTAATCTGAACATCCTTGATAAAGAAATGAAGTTGAAGGAAATGATGACAATAAAATTGATTTTTCTGAAATTTTGTCAATAGGGGTTTTGAGGGGTGGAACTAATGAGCCCCTACCCATTCCCCAAGTTTTCTTTTCCCTTTTGTTTTGGTGGCACTGGGGATCACATAATGGGAAAACACTACCACTGAGCTATGTCTTCAGCCTTTTTTAAAATTGCCAATTAATCTTCTATTTTTATTATATAAAGCAATAATTTATAGAAAAAATAAAGAACCCTGTAATGTATTCCTCAGCCTTTTAAAAATAATTTTATTTTGAGGCAGAGTTTTTCTGTGTTGTCTGGGTTTGTCTTGAACATTTTGATTGTCCTGCTTCAGCCTCCTCAGTTGCTTTGTATGCTACTATGCGTGGCTCCCACCAATATTATGATACCCTTGCTAACTTTCGAACCTTGCCTCTCCAGTATTTTGTTGTTTGTTGATTGATGCTAGGAATTGAACCCAGGGCCTCCCATATGTTCACAACTGTTCTACCACTGTGGAATTCACCTTTGTAGGAGGCGATAGCTGGATATTGAACCCAGGGCCTTTGCACTGAGCTGTACCACCAGCCTCTTTATTAAAATTTTGAGATAGTATACTGCTGAGTTGTGAGACATGATATCTTCCTCCTTTAACCTTCCAGAATAGTGGGATTACAGGTTTGTGCCATCAATGAAGTCTAGATACGAGTTTTCCTTTGTAAGATTCTTGTCTTTATTCTGAAGAAATTATTAATCACAAGAGAAGGAAGACTTATAAATGCTTTCTAGCCAGTTTGGGAAAAATTTTTTCAAATGTTAAGATATAGAAATTCATTTTGCAACTTTCTGTTTCCTAGTATCTGTAGCCTTTCAAAGATTATATTATTTAAGTTAGTACAGTATATTAAAGTTATAAATAGTTGTTTAATGAGAAAAGAAGTCAACCTTCTTGGTAGTCCCATTCTTGGTTGTTTTATTAAAGCTGCAGGTAGACTTTCCTCCACGTAAAGTGTATTTTCAATGATATTTTTTCCTAGATTCTTATAAATAGATTATTTGATGTTCCACATGATCCATATGTCAAAATTAGTGATTCCTTTTGGCCACCTTATATTGAGCTGCTGCTGCGTAATGGAATTGCCTTGAGACATCCAGAGGATCCAACCCGAATAAGATTAGAAGCTTTCCATCAGTAAAAAGACAGTCTTTTTTCACACACTAAAGAATCTTGTCATCCAAAGATAATGGGAATTTAGGACTGTTTCAATAAGGATTATTATTTGCAAATCAAAGTAGTAGTCCATCTTTCTTTTATCCTTAGATGACACATACTGCCATTTATTCATTTTTAAAGTGGTCTTTTCTGATTCATTCAATTTTTTGGTGTATTAAACTATATGGACAATAAGTAAAACATACTCTAAACTTATAAAGCATTTGATTTACCTTATCTCATAGTCTTTTTAAAATTCTTCTGTTAACTTAAAACATGTTTAATGTAATTTTAAAAAAATGTTTGGCAATATCTTTTATGCCTCTTCAGTTCCATTTGATGCATAATGCCTCTATATTTTGGAATTATAATGGAAAGATTATTTAATTTGTAAATAGTTTTAAAGTTGAAATAATATCCAGTGTAGAAAGTGGCTTAAATTAAACATATTCAGCAAAATGCCTCATGTGTTACTTTGTTTCTAGATTTGTTTAAAAATTAGAATTAAAAAATAATAAAGTTGGGATTAAAGCTGTAGTTTAATATGTATGATATACTAATGACTTTTTAATCCATTCTTGACTTTAATTATTACCAATAAAAATACTGTTTGTGACATTTTGTTAATTTTCTGTAAATAAAATTATAAGAATTTCTAGGTATTGGTGATTTTGCATATTTCTTATAGAGAAAACTTTTTTTTACAAGTTGATAGGACTCATTTAGGATTATATACAAGCAGAATTAGACAGTTTTAAACCTATTTAGTACCATTAGTTTTCTATGAGAAACTGGTTCATGCTTTCATACTTGAAAATGATTTTTACTACATATATATCATCTGTGTTAATTACTGAAAGGAGCACAAGTGAGACCACCAAGGAAAAAAATCTAAAGCAACATGCTATGAGCTTGTCGCCATCTGGGTACAGATGGGCCAAGGGCGAAATAGGAAGAAGGGTGTGCTCAGTTTATGTAAGGGAGTTTAAGTAGGTGAGGGGATGTCAGCTTGGAGGGTGGAAAATTTTGGGTTCTTGGGTGATAGGCTTGAAGCTGGTGAACAGGATGGGTGAGGTTAGCAGGGTGATGGTGGGTACAGCAAGGTATATTGGTTGCCTTGTGGTTTTTTGGAGAATCAATGTCCTTGCATGTGTGAATGAGCAAGGCAGGGGCTGGCTTCTCATCATCGCTGTTCTTGCAAGCAATGTTGTCTGTAGGGTTTTTTCTCTGTTGGGTGGGGGCCTCTCTGGAGGCCTATCAGTTACTTTTCTCCTATTGCTGAGACAAAATACCCAACACCCAAAGTTAAAGGGGTGAGGGTTTATTTAGCTCACAGATTGCAGAGGTTTCAGTCCACAATCAGCTGATTCCAAGGCAAAGTGATACATGGCAGAGGGATGTCCCAGAGGAAAGTAGTACTTGTTGCTCACATATTGGCAAAAGCAACAAGGGACTTTAACAGCTTCTTTCTGGCCATTTTATCTTGTTCAGACTACTGAACCAAACCAATTGCCAAACCAATCTGTGTACTGATTTAATAATCACATACCCTTAATCCCAGCATCACACTAGATTTAGCTACCCCCTAAACAGGCCCCTTCTAGTATTGCATGAGGCTTTGGGAACACCTCTAAACACAAGTCATAACATCATCCAAATTTCTAACCTTAATTACTTCGTCTTGTTTAACGTACATAATATTTCAAGTGTATCATGCCCCTCTGTAGAAAATATAAATAACTTTTATATTTTATAGAATATGTCTTTTTAGGGGAAGATTACATGTAAAATTCCTCCATAGAATACTCCATTTGTGTGTTGATCCCCAGCATTACAAAACAAAAAAATTGTACACCTTGGTGAAACAGCATTTATTCTAGCTTTGAAAAGCTCGCCCTCGGGACCTTGTGCTTGTGAGGCAGGTGGTGGCACCACTGAGCTAAATCCGCATCCCTGCAATTGGAAATAGTTAAGTAATCCACATAAGACTGAAGCAGAGCTGAGTGTGATGGTGCACTCCTGTAATTTCATACTGTGGAGGCTGAGGCAGAATGATCAGGATTTCAAGTACAGCCTTTACTACCTAAAGACTGAAGCCTGTCTTGGGCTATGTAGCAAGAACCTGTATTAAAAAAAAAAAAATACAGAAATGCCATTTGTCAAAATCCAACACCCATTTGTATTAAAAAAAAAATTTAAAGAACCAAAACTGTCAGGGCTAGGGATGTAGCTCAGTGGTACTGTGCCTGCCTGGCAAGAGCAAGTTCCTGAATTTGATCCCTGGTACCAGAAAAAGAACCAAAACTGTCAATCAATTTAAGTCCTACACATCTTTCTAAACTTGATAAAGAATATTTACAAAACCCTACATGCTTAATAGTGTGAAACTACATGCTTTCTCTCTAAGATCAAGAAAAAGAAAAACCCCCCCACATACACACACCATTCCATCAACGTCATGCTTAAAGCAACAAAATAAATTACCAGGAATTGACCAGAAATCTTTTGGAGCTAAAATCTAACTACTGCAAGTGTGCCAAAGGTACGGCTTTCTAATAGACAGCATTTAATTAGTTTCATATATACATATCAATGAATTTTTTGTTTTTTATTGAGATCAAAATATATTTTCTGATATGTAAAAAATTAAAAATCTTACACATACACATTCTCTAAAAACAGTTAATGAGCATATGTCTACAAAAAATATCCATAAGATAATGGAGATTAAAGAAGCACGAGCACATAAGTTTATTTAATATCAGTTATGAAAGGGTGAATGCAAAAGACAAAATATTTCTTGAAAAGATGTTGCAGGGATATGGTACTTCTGAACATCTGGCTATTTAATTGAAAAATACATCTATCTTTAAAAGAAAAGTTACCAGAAAGTTAAACTAGCTTGTTCATTATGGAAAAGTAACTTTTCCACATTAATATCACATGAACAAATGGGCTGTATTGTGCAGCATCAGTGTTTGATAGAAAGTTCTCAAGTGTTTTTTAAGATGAGCCAGGATTTCCCCGCTTTTAGCTCATCATTGGATCTGGTATGTTTATTGTTTGTTTTGACCATGGAACATGGTAATTCGTACTTCTGATGACAATAGGGTAAAGATTTTGCTTTTTCCTTTTTTTGCTTTTGAAAAATGTATCAAGGGCCGGGGATTTAACTCAGTCGTTCTGCTGCCTGCCTTGCAAGCTTTTTTATTTTTTAAGATGAGCCAGGATTTCCCCGCTTTTAGCTCATCATTGGATCTGGTATGTTTATTGTTTGTTTTGACCATGGAACATGGTAATTCGTACTTCTGATGACAATAGGGTAAAGATTTTGCTTTTTCCTTTTTTTGCTTTTGAAAAATGTATCAAGGGCCGGGGATTTAACTCAGTCGTTCTGCTGCCTGCCTTGCAAGCACAAGGTCCCAAGTTCTATCCCCAGTACCAAAAAAGAAAAAGAGGTGAAAAGTATGTCAAGTAGGCAGAAAATCTCTTGGAATACAAAGAGCTTTGAATGTTAACAAGATAGAATATTAAATTTGGAAATTCTGTTTATTAAAAAGGAAGACACTTATCTGTAGACAAGAGTTACAGAGCAAGACCATTGGGAATCCCAGCACTCAGGAGGCTAAGGTAGGAGGATCTCTGCATGTTTGAGGCCACCCTGGGATACCCAGTGATTCCAAGACGAGCCAGAACCTTCATAGCAAGACTGTCTCAAAAAAAGAAGAAAAATTCCCTAAATAAAATATATAAAGATCAACATAAAATCAATAAATAAGAGATACTTGTCCAACTTAATTATTTTAGTAAAATGGCTTGAGACAGGAGAATCTTGAAAGTTAAAAATAAAGGGGAGAAATAACTTCTAGTTTCAGTCTAAGGTGGAGTGGATGTATTTCTCCGTATTCCTCCTGCTAAAAATCTTGTAAAACTCAGGGAAAAAACTGAGTAGTGGAGGGCAAAAGATAGACTGACTAGGGAACTTGGGGCCCCAAAATGATACAGCATTTTACTTTTTGCCATATATATACACACTGGGTGTTGAAGCATGCAATACTGAAAATACCAATTAACTTTTTTTTTTTTTAACTGAAAGTTGAAGTCAGGGACTTGTACTTGCCAGGTAGATGCTGTGCCATTGAGCTACATTTCTGGCCCAAGAATACCAATTAGAAAAGACAAAAGTATTCCAAAGATTTGCTCTATATGTACCATGAGGAAAAAGCTAATGTCAAAAGACAAAAAAGTTTTAGACTATTACTGTTCTACACTAGTGGATCATCATGAAAGAAAATACTACCTTACCTTCACCTACATCTGAAAAGGCCAAGTACTAAACCTGAACTACCCTGGTCTGATTATAAGTTGATCCTGTTCCTGAGATAATAAAGGAAGACAGTAGAGAGTCAAGACTTTCATAACTCAGCAGTAAAGAAACCATGTGATTTTGAACTTCAAATACCCACCCATTTGTAAGGAGGCAACTCTCCCCTTCATTAGATAATACTGAATAGAAAGATCAGTAACAAGTTACCCATTTTTTACCCAGAATTATTGTTAGTGGAGGCTGTTTGAAGAGTCTGAAATTCCACCACTGTCCAGAAAATACGGGAAACTTCTTACCTCTGGACCTCACAGACCTGTGGAACCATAAAAAAGATCTCAAAGTTGTGTTACCAAAGTCTGCAAAGGAAATCAAATGAAAATGGAAACAATGTTCTAGAATGTATGAAATAAACCAAAGACATCTGAGTGGAAGGTATATAGCTATAAATGCCTCCTACATTTTTTTAAAATACGAGATTAAATAACTAAGACCTTAAAAAATAATAAAATGCAAACCAATGAAAGGCACGAAATAAATATTAGCTGAAATTAATGAAATAAAGACTAAATTATACATTGAAGAAACAAAGATTTGGTTCTTTGAAAAGATAAACAAGATTGATAGGACTACCAGAAAAATGGCAGAGTGATTAGCAAAAAAACAAAAAACAAAAAACAAAAACAAAAAAAACACAGCCTCACTGAGATCCAGGATCCAGACACTGGAAAGTAACACCTTGTCTATGGCCACACCACCCTGACCTCGCCCAGTCCTATCTGAAAAATAACACCTTGGGTAAGAAAGAAAGAAAAAGTAGATCCCCAGAAACTGAAGAATCTGACAAAATTAAAAATTTCAGAGAAAACAGTGCAAGAAGG